GCCTGAGCCACTGTGTCCAGCCTCAAAACGTTTATTTAATGTGAATCAGCTTATGTGCAATTGGTCAACAGGGGAAAGACATTATATATGCATTTTTCCCCCAACATATTACTGATTTGAAGTGATCAGAGGTAGGCTTTCTACAATTTAGAAGAAGAAAAAAAAAAAAGGCTTTAGTGATATGTAAAGACCTTCAGGAAAAAAAAAATATCTTGGTAGTTCTTTTTTTTGGTATAAGAAGCAGATGTTTAGTGGGTTCATGTCTGGCTACATTTTCCACTTTATCAAACCATCTGGCAATGTGCTAGGATAAATGAAAAAGCTAGAGATTTCTAAGTCTTTAAAAAAAATGGATAGATAAATAAACCTACTCCTAGATTAGGACGTTAATCTTGACAAAACTGGTCTAAACTAAATTTAATTGTACTAGCATGTTTATTAGGGTTAGGGTTTTTGTTAGGGCTCTTATAAAAGTTTGTTCAGTTTTGAGTGTTCTTTCTCCACAAACTGTTACTTTTGCTTATTGTTTGGCAGCATGTCAGGATTTCCAGGAATGCAAGTATGGCATTACAGCAGAAACATGTGGATATATATAAACATTCTGTCCCCACTCCAAACTGCCTTTTAATTCTGAATCTTAAGTTTTCATTAACCGAAAGAATACTCTGAGCTAACACAATGCTAATCTGCTAGACAGGAGTACAAATTAGTCAATGAAATTAGTGAATATTTTATTGAATTTTGTCTTTATTTATAAAAAAGAAAAATTACAATTCTAATACTAGTAATAAAGAATATGAAATGAAATACAAATGAGAAAACGACATCTGTATTGCTATTTGGTCTGTATCTGATGCTCATTGGACTGAAGTTACCTGGACAGCACATTTAAGATAAAATGGTGGAAAGACACAGACAAAATGCTAGAAATATTCAATAAGACTTTTCTAAAAGGTGAAATCTAATTTAGAACCTAATAATGATGTTTAAGCGCTCTGGATGTGGAATCCCACATCTGACTTTGTGTACATGTTTTGAGGGATACATCACTTATGAAAGTAGGGGCTATCTTTTTCATAGAATTTTTGTGAAGCTTAAGTAAAATAATATGCATAAGGGATTTAGCCACATTTAGCAAGTAAAAAATTCATTAAAGTTGCAACTATTGGCCCGGCACAGTGGCTCACGGCTGTAATCCCAGCACTTTGGGAGGCCGAGGTGGACGGATCACGAGGTAAGGAGATCGAGACCATCCTGGCTAACACGGTGAAACCCGTCTGTACTAAAAATACAAAAAAATTAGCCGGGCGTGGTGGCGGGCGCCTGTAGTCCCAGCTACTTGGGAGGCTGAGGCAGGAGAATGGCGAGAAC